AAAAAAAAAAATTGAAAAAAAAATACGTATCACCTGGGAATCCAAATGGCTAAACTGTTAATTAATCTCAAGTTTTAGTACAATAATCAGTTAATGAATCATGGAACACTTCATCTAAAACTAATGATGTAATGTATGGGGATTAACATAAGAATAAAAAAATAAATAAAATTTAAATTCTAAAAAAAAAAATAGAAACAAAAGAGGGAACTGTCACTTGGAACTTGGGCTCACAGGAAATTTTAAGTGTATGGAAGCTGTAAGGTCTCAGTTTGCATCTGTCTGTATGTTTATGTATTCTATATATACAAGAAGTTGGGTATAATCTTCTATGTCAACAAAATTAATTTGTAAGAAAGCTCTACTTAATTGATTTAAAGAAATTAAGTGCTCATATAAATTGAATTCTCAGGAATATAATAGAAACTAGGGACCCCTGGCAGGCGCAGTTGGTGGAGCCTGTGACTTTTGATCTTAGGGTCGTGGGTTCGAGTCCTACACTGGGCACAGAGTTTACTTAAAAAAAAAATTATGAAAGAAAATCTTTTAAAAAAAGAAAACCCAAATGTTTTTCAAGTTCATGTGATTTAGTATTAACTTTTAGTAAATAAAAACTAGTTTGTTTGTTGATTAAGATAGGCATGTCCTCAGAAGTTATCAGTATGAAATATAATACTTTTATTCTATCTTGGTTTACTAAAGGTCATGCTATCTCTTACAAAAATCTGTCAGCAAGAAACATAGCTTGGGATGATGGCTGACTTTGTCTAGTGTCTCATGAAGCAGTTTAAACACAGTTGTTAACTTGTTACTTGTTAAGAACAAGAAAATTAAATAGGTATAAGTAGTATAAAAGGTTTTTAGGTCAACTTTTTAGCAATAAACTATGTTTTATGGTATGTGTCCTTAAAAATGGTTTTCCCAAATCTTTCAGGTAAGCTGAAGCTTTAAACTTTTGCTAAATGATGAATTAAATTAAATTCACTGAATATCCAGACCATTTCTAAATAAGATAAAACACCGAACATAGTTTTATATACTTTTAACTGCTGAACACAGATTTAGACACTATTACTTCCTTTTACAGAAGAACTAAAAGGCATTTGGGTCATGAGTAAGCATATGTCTCTAGAAATTATTAAATGCATTTTTAAGTTTGCCATTTTAAACAATGCTGGTGTGACACAGTTCACTACTGCTTATTTCTTAGTCAAGGGTTCTAAGGGTTAATTCTAATTAATATATGTAACTGGGCGCCTGGGTGGCTCAGTTGGTTAAGCGACTGCCTTCGGCTCAGGTCATGATCCTGGAGTCCCTGGATCGAGTCCC